CCCCCCCCCCCCCCCCCCCCCCTCAGTGTCAGTGGCTGATGCAGGAGTCATAGTGGAGGGTGCACTGAGAGAATCAGTAAAAGTCCATGGATGTGCACAAAGTGTTAAACAAAGAGGGGAAGCGTGGAGCACAGAGCAGCTAGAGGATAGCTGCTTTAAGAAGCTGGGAATAGGACTTCAATGAGTTCTTTGACATGAAACTAAAGCTGAACCAGTGGGAGCGCATGTCATCTGGCATATAGTCAAGTCTGGGTGGATCTAACAGTGCTATCTTTTCAGAAGATGAACTACTGAGGCCTGTGGTTGAACCCTGGTAAATGTTATTTAAGGAAGTGTATGCCATCACTGATTTTATAATCTGCTTCTCTCAACAGCACTAAATGAATACCTGTGGGGCCGAGCACGTCGTGGCTTACAGAGGCGGATACTCCATCTGTGTCCCCGAGGAACATGGAGGAATTTGACAGTGAAACCATTCCACTTCCACGTCATTTACAGTGGTGTTTGCTGTGAAACCATGCAAATGTGTCGATATGTTTTACATTCACGCTGGTGAAGTTCCTCGTTTGATAACGTGATGGGATGATCTGAGCAGGCGGGGGGTTGACTAAGGAGAGGATTCCATGTGTAAAAATGAGTGATTAAAATAATTAGAGATATAGAAATGGTCTGGAATGATAACCCGCAGAAGCAGAGTGCCTCGGGGAAAATGTCCCATCTGCATGTGTGTGTGTGTGAGTGAGAGAGTGGGAGGAACACATCCCTCGGCTGCACTGAGATTTTCTTCTATTTCTTTTCTTTTTTTTTCAAATTCACACAGGCCACACATTGGGAACTAAACCAAGGTAACCGGGACATTTGGAGTGTACATGATCGAATCCCAAACAAGCCATAGCCCACGGAAAATGTGTCAGGATGAATCGATGCATCATTAAATTACACTCTGCCTCTGCACGCATGAGTGGCTGCATTAACAGCAAATCCTACGGCGTATAATTATAGACACATGAGAGGTATGGACCAGGAATCCCTGCTTATATGTGCAGATGGGAATTTTTTTAAAGAAGAGTAGAAGCAGCTGGCACTCTGTTGTCTGCAGAACTGTCCATCTGATCATCTGGTGTCATACACACATGTATGTATGTATACATATATATATATATATATATATACATATATATATATATATACACATACATACATATATACATATTTATATAAGTGTGTGGGTGTGTGTATATAACATATGTAACAAAACAAAACTCTCAAATTATAATACCATATGAACCAAAATTGTCTAATAATTTGTATTTATAAATTGTATGTGTATGTATTTAAACCGAATATTGATTACATGATATTTACCTAATTTAATTTGCACTTTATTACAAGTTACAATGTCAAAATATCACTAAGACTCACATGATGCTCTGGCTCTTGCAAAACACCAAGAAAGAATGTAGGATATAATTTATATTATTATCATTGTTATGGAAAATGAATTTTCTAATGCAGATCTGACTTCATATATTTTTTACCCTTTAAATCCAAGAGTGATTTTAGGGGCCACCTAAAAAAAGCTACTTTCAATGTGATGGGAACAAAGGCTTTTGCAGCCTGTCTTCCTGCCCACTGCCAGGCAACAATAAGGTAAAGGTGGGCACGAACGGTGTCATCTTTTTACCTGATCGTTTCCACAGAAACTCACTCAAGAGATGCCTGCATGAAAATTATTTTATAATTATTATTTATTTTAAATGTGAAAGAATTCTTCCAGCCATGGCAGCTGCCAAACGTTAACATTTTACTCCGGCTGCGCTGGTTACAGAAATACGGTGTAAAGTCCTGGCTTTATTAGTTTGATCAAATGTGTAGATGAGCGGTCTGGGTGGGGTGCAAAGACAGATAAAAGAGATGCAGGTTGGATGCTGCCGTGTTACCTTGGTCGGAAGTGCTCCGTCTTCCTCCCTGTCCGTCTGATTCATGTGGGTGGATTAGCAGCTGGAGGCTTCCTCGGGAACAGCACGGACGGTGTATAATCCAGCGGCAGCAGGGCTCCGGTCAGAGAAAGGGCTGCCTTTGTGGCGGGGTGCATGCACACATCGTCTCCTCCACCTGAGGTTCTTCTCCGCCGTTTCTTAGTTAGAGGAGCGGAGGAAAGGAGCGCAGCGGGTCACACCACGGCTGCTCCTCAACCCTTCAGACGGCAGAGCATCGTCGGACGAGCGGCCTCAGTCAGTCAGATACTGCTGGTTGATGTCATTGATACTCTGCCTTTCTTCCTTAATGCCCTCCTCCTTTTTCCTCCCCCTCCCCCTGCACTATCTCTCTCTCTCTCTCTCTCTCTCTCTCTCTGTCTCAAACATCCATAGTACACACATGACGTGATGCAGGCAGCATCTCCAATAGCAACCGCATCCCCCGCCTCCCCATCACCCATATTACCCCCATCGCTATCCCACACCAGCCACAACCCCAACACCTCCTTATTACCCTCCTCCTCCTCCTCTTCCTTCTCCTCCAGCTGAGGCCAGATCGCTGACTGGTACAAAAGATGTGGATGCTGAGTTAGGTTGTGTCCTGTGTATTGGAGACTGATTTTTCACACCCTGCTCCCCCGGGGCTACCATGAAGATAAGCACCTTGAAACTCCACTGACTCCCACAATACACCGGCCTGATCATAGGTGTCAGGAGCACAGGAGGTCGCTGTCAGCATGTCAGATTTCTTTTGCACAGCAGAACATTGTGCAGTACATCCTTAAATAAGTATTTTCTTAAAATATTATTAAAAACGTCAATATATGATGTATATGATAACTGGAACCGATTCATACAAAATGAGAGAGATTTCTTTTAACCAAACTGATCTTACGTGTCTCCCAAACAGCTGCACAGTCCAGTCCAAGGGGTTTATAAAATACCATGCACTCATTACTCACTATTTATATTCAGCCATACTTCATTCAAAAATATTACGTCAAAAACATGTGCTGATGTAGCAACCTGGAGCTCCATGACGGTTTTCCACCTGCACAAAGGTCAGCGGGCATTGTGTTTTCCTCACACAAATTCAGTGTCTCGTTGCCCTGATAGATACTGTAGTTTGCTGACAATATCTGAGAAAATCAAGTGTTTCCAGGACAGAGTGTTAGGCATCCAGAGGTGGCACTGAAGAATGAAGGTTCATTTTGTGACAAAGGCTCTGTTTTCCTGACATGCTCACAGCATCAGCAGCTCCACCGTCCACATTTCTTCTCATCTAGACACAATATGAATTCACAACTGACCCACTCTGAAGATATGGTCAAATTCTTTCTCATAATTTTATTTTCTACTCACTCGAATAAAGATTAACTGACTTAAGAAACAGTGGAAAATGAACCAACTGCCTTCAGACTCTCAGTCTCTCACATCATCCTCTGGGACAAAGGCTGCCAGTCTAACTGACTTTCTTTGTTGCTAGTGACATCTAGTGGGGCAATACCATCATGTGACGTTGGGAGTGGGAATAATAATTCCAGACAGTTAATGTACTGTATGTGGGATCAGTAATAACTGAATGTTACATTTATTTTTATTTTTTTACCTAAGTGTGCTATAATTTAGTTTGAAATGTATCCCTGTGGAAAGAAAAAAGAAAAACAAAACACGTTGCGAGCTGCCTTCTGCTTCTCTGCCACAGGGATTTGCTTTCTCAGTTAATGAATTAAATATTGCGTTAAAACCACAAGGCTTCTCCATTAGAGACTTTAGCAGCGCAATATATTGTCACTGTTTTTGGTTAATAGCACTTAAGCAAGGCGGAAACATTTGTACTCTCATTTACCAGCTGGAGCTTTTCGACCAAATCTGCCACAATGGCTCCCATCACGTTCACACTGACGAAAGCGGATAAAGATCATTTTCAGTTACTGGTACACCAACTGTCGTCTTAAAAATTAATGAAGCCACATATTTCTCTTGTCTGTGTACCGTCCCTGCTGGACGCCCCGTGACCTGCCTGACTGTATTACATTACAGTACTCCCATTTACAGAGTTGAAGCTAGGGCAAAAGCCCTAAAATTAGCAGGGGAAGTGCCCTGTCTCCAGTGCTGCCCAGCAGCAGTGACGTTGATTTCACACTATTTTTATTTTAAGAGACCGGGTCTCAGAAAGATCAAGTTTCCGTTATGCTTTATTTCTCTGTCCTTGAGTTGGTGTGTGCAGCGGTCCCTTTTTTAATCAGCACTAATAAATATAATAATTTGCTAATCTTAAACATGTGATCTAAAATATGATTGTCTTCCAGGCCCTAACAAGCTCTCTTTATAGACTCAAATGCCCCCACGGAGTTGTTGTGTTTTAAAACCCCGTTAGTGCAACGATTATATTCTTTCTGAATTTGTGTAAAGACGCTATTAACATTAAGGCTGCAAATAAAAATCACAGTCCCAAAAACCAAAGCCTTGGTGACAAAAGTCAGATGAGCTCACTTGTGGGAAATCTAAAGGTCAAAGGCAGGAGGAAAGGATAATACAACAGATCCTGTCGTGATACTGAATTTTATTCAAGTATCTCCACCACACTTCTGCTCTTAAGTTATCATCATCAACAAGTTCATTATTCCACGGCGTTGCGAAAACGAAGGCAGCAACAGTTCACAGCCTGAAAACCTGCAACTAGTTATGGATTTATGGAAACTTTCAGTGTGCATTTAACTCACTTGGTGATGCTCGGCGTATGATCAAAAAGAAAAAACATTTGTGAGAACACAGGATAAATAAAGCGACAATTAAAAATAAGACTGAGATGCAGCAGCGGCCGGAGAGCCGACTGTAGCATTTCTGTGAACTATGGTTAAAAGGGAATAACACACAAACAATACACCAGTTTGGAAAGAAAGAACTTCTGTTGTTATCAACACTTCCTTGATAAACTTCCATTATAAATCTTAAAAACCACTGGACAGTTAACATTTATAATGGGATGTTAGCACAACTGGAATCAATTCAGACAGGCAGAAAGTAGAATAAAACTAATTCCATGTCATTATACCAGATCCATTTAAAAAAGAAATCTAAAAATTCAAGTTCAATCTTATTGCACTTGATTTCTTTTAATGCTGTAAATTTACTGTAAGAGAAAAAATGCTGCACCTTGGTTGAAATATCACTGCATAGGTTGTAAAAGCCTGTCTGCAGACGAGCGAGTGTTGGACAAACTACAGTTCCAGTACATTTGCTGCTCGTAAAAACTGTCAGGTTTTCAATGACAACTCTGCAGGCTGTCAAACCATATTAGTGTCTGTAATATCGACTATCTCCAGTTGCTGAACTAGGAGGAAAAGGAAGTTTCATGGATGCTCCCACCTTTGGGTAACTACCGATAAGAGTTTGGAATATAGGTCAGCTGCTGTTCATTTCCTCAGCTACAGTCCGCAAAAGACTGTAGCTACAGTCCGTCACAGACAGGATGACATTTGGCACATTCGTTCCAACACCTTTTCAAATCAAATGAGCAGAATACAATAAACTGGTAACTGGCTACTTTGATCAGTGGCTTTCCATTAGTAACAGAGAAAACCAATCACACATCCAGTTAAGCCATTGTCAAAAAGCACCATCAAGCACCATTATACTGCAATGCTCTTCAAAAAAAAAAAATTGCATTTAGGCTTTTACGTGATCAAACCCATCGCTTTGAAGAGGCTGCATAACAGTCACTGACCAGATCTCAGCCAGAGATTTGGGCCCAGTCATGGGTCTGCAGAACCAGGAGCAAAACAGAAATCTGTGGGGCAGAGATAAAGAAAACAGCATGAAGACAGATTTGATTTTAAGGTCAAACTAAAGTAGGGGGGGACAACAGGAGGAGTTGTGCAGGGTTGAGTGAAGAGTGGTGGAAGTCAGTGCAGCTCAATAAAAGCCTCCATCTCCTCAGAGATGAGTCCCCTGTAGGGCAGTCTGTGCTTTTCAATTGCACGCGCCGCCAGGCACTGAAGGGTGATATAGTTCAGCGGGTAGAGGGCCGGGTGTCCGCTGCTCTGCTCGTCCAACAGCTCGTACGCCGTCTTGCGCTGAGCATTAGTGACATCAAAATGAGCTCCGGCCTTCAAAAGGAGTGCCATAATCTCTGGGGAACCATTTTTAGCAGAAATGTGCAGTGGTGTGTTGTTCTCCGAGTCTCTGGAATCCACATCTGCACCACACTCCAGAAGCAGAGCTGCCACCGCTTGGCAGGGGAAGCGGCCCACTGGGTAGCGACCTACTGAGGTTGTTTCCATGTCAACAGCCATGTGGAGAGGGGTGAAGTTGCCCCGACCCCGAGGGTTTAACTTCAGCAGACGGTATACTGTGTGCTTCTTTTGGTGTTCCTGCTCTGGGGTGCATTCCAGCTTCTCTAGCAGAAAGATAAGGTGGAGGATGATGGACAGAGCCTTGGTGAACTGGGGGGCTTCAGGAGGATTGTCCCTTTGTGCCACAGCTCTCTCCACCTCCATTACACTTTTCCCCAGCACAGTCATCAGATCGTGAAAGGTGATGCGTGTTGAGAAGGTGCCTTTGGCCCTGTCTTGAAGAACAAATGAGAAGAGCTCTGCAAAGGATAGAAAACTAGAAGCTGTCATAGGACTGAGAGGGTCTAAATTGCTTTGCTGCATGTCTAAAGCATACTTCCATAGGCTGATGCAGCGCTCAAAATTGCCCGAGTCAGCATACACTGCTCCTCTATAGCGGATGTAGTAGGAGGTGTCGGGGTGCGATGGCCCTAGGATGCGCTCTCTTACCAACAAAGCCTGCATCCTCATTTCGTCTGGGTCTGTTATTAAAGCTTCAAGTTCCTCGGCTGTGCAGACCTCCTGAGCACAACCATAGGCAGGGATGGGAGGACCAGGAGGAGGCTTAGTCAAAGATCCAGCCTTGTTCCCTGGCTGCCTGAGATCCATAGCCCTTCTCCAGTACTTCATCGCACCCAGAAGATCACGCTTTTTGTCCACAAATGTTGCACCAAGAAGTTCTAGAGCATCAACGCGCTCCTCTCTAGAGCTCTTAGGCTGGTGAATGAGATACTCCACAATGTTGGTGTGACCTGTGACACTTGCAGCAAGCAGCGGGGTCATACCATATCCATCTCTCTCCATACGGGCATTACACTTGAGCAGCATCTTCATGATGTCCAGGCTGCCTGACTCGGCACAGTCATGGAGGGCCGTGTTACCTTTAACACTTTTGCGGTTTACGTCAGCCCCACGGTCCAGTAGGAACTTGGCTATCTCCTTGTGGCCCTTGTAGCAGGAGATCATGAGGCAGGTGTGTCCGTGACGGTTTGCGACCTCCATGTCAGCCCTGTGCTCCACCAGGTAGCGCACGATCTCCAAGTGACCGTCAAAACAGGCTGCTCGAAGCGGCGTAGAGTTGGTGAGTGTGGCGTTGTTAACGGAGGCGCCGTGTTTCAGCAGCGTCTTCACTACAGGGAGGTGTCCCGCTGCCGAAGCCGCCCACAGCGGCGGAGCTCCCTCGATGGTCTCGCCGTCAAAGTTAACCGAACCCCCGAGTTCAACATTAGCCTTACAGTGTTCGAGGAGGTAATCTACAACCTGTAGATGTCCGTACCTGGAGGCGATCAACAAAGGTGTGCCTCCCTGTGTCTTCTCCTCGGCTAAAGCCTCCAGCTCCTCAGGAGTTTTGTTGCACAGCAACTTCTGGATAAGTTTTAGCTTACCATCTCTGGCTGCGTTAAAAACCGCCGTCGTTATGTCCATTTTAAAGACTCGGCAATAGCGCTCTGGACACCAACCCCATAACCGCCCGTTTGTGGAAAAACTAACGAGTCTTAGTGTTAAATAAGAGAGCGCAGGTGCGTCAGTCGGTACTCGGCTTCTAGCTTACATCCTTCTGCCATTTTGAGGGTGCTGTCAAGATGGCGTGTGTCGTTTGACAGCTCTTCGGGTACGACTGAAACAAGGTATTATGGGAAACGTAGTTTTAAACAATTCCCTGCTTCCATGTAGTGAACGCGTTTTACATTAAAACTTACTACATTTCCGATGGTGCCTGGGAGAGAATGGCACCAGCTGATGGGTCTATAATGGTTTGTTGTGGTTTTTTGACAAACCAATCAGCGGCTCCGACGCTGGAGCCAATGAGAAGCTAAGCCAGAAAAAACTTATGACTAAACTGTTAACAACTTAGTGACTGGCACATACGTAGAGTATGTGTCAGAGTCACAACAACTTTTTTATTTAAGAACAACCCGCAGTACAGACGTTAAAACAAACAAAGAGGATATTAAAAAAAAAAAAAAATTCTAGATTCATGTTGTATTTGAAGAGTTGGGGATGTTTAAAGCACACATTCATTACTTTAAGTGAATTTGATTTAACGACATTCATAAAATAGTGAAAGATGTGAAAGAATATAGTATAAAGTCTATTTTGTGGTGTTCAGGTGGTTCTTCTGTTGCATTCTGATCACTTTAAGAGAAAATAGAGTGTAAAAGAAGACATCTGAGTTTATAAATACTCAAACAGTTTAAGTAGTTGGTATATATGTGCTTTTATAGAAGCTGCCAATCACAAACAGTGTAAAAAAGATTTTTCCATCCCCTGACAAACCATTGTCTACTTCATGTCCAACTGTAAATGTGATCATAGTGTTAAAAAATGACATCATGGTCCACAGAAGAATGACAATGGGAAAGAAAATGGGATTTCCCAGTAAATGATAATGTTAATAATGAAATGACAAATAATCCGATTTTAATGGTAACACACAACAACAGATTAAAAAAAATATATGTTCATAAATCTTGACATCAAACTGAAAGATCTTACCTGCTCTTTTGAAAAATGGTTGTATTTGTAACTTGAATCTCTGACACACACGCCTCTTGCATTGTAAGCAGACATCATTAATCTACATTTCACATTAATAGGGTAGTAAATTATGAGGTGGTCAGACCACACAGCAGTGTTGGTAATGCTGTTTGGCATCATTTAAGTGGGTTGATGAAACAGTCTCCTACAGTGGAAAGATCACATGACACATCCTCCTACACAGAGACAGTGGCCAGAATACTGACTGAAATATTGACATTCTTGATACAGTACAGGAACGTCATGGGTCTGACAGTCGCTGGAATATAGATAGTGACTTTATATGTCCACAGTATAAAAGAGTTGCCTGGTGTCTTATTTTGAATTCATGAATTCACTGTGTTGCATATTACGATCGGTGATCCAAGCAGACCAGTGAAGGATTAGGATTTCTCATACATCCATACAATATATTTACAATAGATTTGCCTCTGGTGTATTGGCTCAGCTCCTGCACTATAACAAAGACCAGGGATATTTTAACCCAATGCAAGAATGTTTTTTATGCATGCCATGAAATTTCAAATTAAATAAAAACAAAGGTTTTCAAGTTTTGTTTGAGTTTTAGTTCTCTTTCACATACACTTGTGTGCATTGATCTTGAGCTGCCCATATTTTATTCAGCCCGAAAGAGCCCGATACACTTGTATTTTTCAATTATTCATTCATCTTCTACCTCTTAATCCTTTTCAGGCCCTGGGCTGGAGCCAGTCCAAGGAGTGCTTGTGTAAGGGTGAGTTACACTCTGGACAGGTCAGCAGGCAGCTAGCCCGTCACACCACCACAAGATGACATGGTAACACCTACATTTAATTCCATGGTCAATTTATGTGTCCAATCAACCAAATCTCAAATCTACATGTTTTAGCACCGTGGGAGGAAACCAGATAACCTGGGAAAAACACACACACACAGGGGAAGCAGAGATGATGTATTCAGCAAACCAGTGCTGCTGTAAAAAAAAAAGAAAAAATAGATATATAAATTGAAATCTTTATTCATCGCAGAATGTGGAAACAGGCTCCTCTGGGGATCAAACTCAGGACATTCTGTGTGTAAGGCAGATGTATAAGGCATGTGTGGCAATGGCTACACTATGGCTATAACTCGTGTTATAGCCATAGAAAAGGCAAACTCAACTGCTAAAACAAACACATACCTTCAGATTCATTTCACATAAGGGATGGATCCAAAGTGGTAGACAAAATAAATGGACTAAATGTGACCTTTAAGCAGCCCGCAGGTGAAATAGTAAACAGGATCAGGGACAGGATCTGAGAAGTGCATCTAAACCTGGAGTACATCCATCAACTGTTCACTAACATCTTGTAAGCAATACCCACAATCACAGTACTGCAGCAGCGAGGTAACATGAAAAGGTTAAAATATGCAAATTTAAACAAACAAAGGAATGGAAAACAACAGACAAAAGTCTTGTGAAGTACTTAGTTTAAGTAGAAAATATCTGATTTCAATCACAGTCAGTGTGTCAGGAGAAGGTTAATGGAACAAATGTATCACTTGTCATTCTGAATCTTTAGAAAAGAGAGTAAACCTGTTGTTTTGGAGATGCATTCATTGAAAGATTGGAAAGAAGGGAATAGAGCAATGAATGCTGATGCAACATTTTCACCATCTGAAAGGCACTTTTAAGGAAATAGGTTCATTTTTCAGCACAGCAACGATCCCAAGAACAGGGTAAATAATGATAAAGGCACACAGGGAGAGAAAATCAGATGATGCAACACTGTCAGTGCCCGACTGGCCTCAGCAAACTGTGACCTCAATGTATTTGCAGATGTTGGATGTCACCCCAAACGTTTTTTATTTCTTTGGGTTAAGGGACATAATAATAATAATAATAATACAGTGTTTATCTTATACGGAAACAATTTAATTACGAGGCTAAGGTTTAGTGTCATTCTTATGTTTGTCCAGTAGAGGGGAGCATGAGATCTACATGGGGAATAATATCCGGCCCTACTAATCAATGTCAATATGAACGGTTTTGACGGCTCGGAATTCTTTGTTTCTGTACTTTATTTACCTTCTGAATTTTCTATTTCACATAGACCTTTTTCCACCGATACATGAATATGTAACCTATAGTACAAACACAGTATCTTAATTAAGTGACTCAAATCCTTCAAATCTTTAATAACAATTTGAAAGCCACTAGAGAAGAGCGTGAGCACGAAGCATGGTTTCAAAATTAAACAGGGAGTTTGGATGCTCGCAGAGAAAATACTACATGCTCTGAAACGTGATTAAAGGACACCAAGGCTGTGTGTGCGTCTCAGAGACTTGTTGGCACAAATGATGATGAAGAGTCAGGAGAGAGCAGAGGAAGAGTCATTATTATTCCCCTTAAACCTTAGAATTCATTTAAAATCAACAGCACAACTATGCTAAACGCTAACAAAGGCGACAGTGTGAGTTTGTAGTTTTATTTGCATGTTCGAGGAGATGTCATACAACATTTCATATCAGGTTTACATCCACAAGCAATAACATTTGGTTCTCAAATATAAACTCTTGCCAACGTTTAAAAATAATTCACTTTCAACCACATGAACGTGCAATAGCTTACGTTACTCCATTATTACAAAAATACCATCTTCGGCGCACATGGGTTAACAATGGCATTATGGGATATATGAAATTGTGCCACATCACAATGCTCTTCAGAGGATGTAACACAACGTGTAACTCAATACTAATAGAGGAATACACAAACATGGACCACAGATCCACAGGAAACATTCAGAAGAGTGTCAATAATTTGGGATTTGTCTGAACTCCACTGACCTCTGAAATAAACACGGCAGCTTGATAAAGTGGGCAATATTTGTGCCGAGTTTCTATGTTATTTGTCTATTGATTTTAATAACACAGTGCGCAAGACATACTGTAGCCTCCTTGTTTTCAGCATGCTTCTGCAAATTACTGTTTAACCTGAAACACAATGAGAACATGCTCACGTTGAGGAGCTGTGTGTGTGTGTGTATGTGTTTTTTCTTTTTCCACCATTGACTTGAACACAGCTGTCTAGTTGCCCTCCAGCAACTCACTGAGCAACACCTGTCTCTCTCCGAGAAGAACATCTCTCTTTAGACTGGTTCCTTTGTTCACTACTTTAATCTTCATGGACATACTCTTCACTTGTGCTTTAGGCACCGCGTCGAAAAAAAAGTCTTCGTTAAAAACGGGGTTCCTGCTGTTCTTGATGATGGTGCTCCTCTGTTTCTGCTGCTTGCCTGGGTTCAGGTACAGGGCCACGCAGCAGTTGATGCTCTTCAGGTCTGTCTGCCTGTCATAAAGGGACTCGGCCGCCAGCACTCGCACCCTCAGCCGGGCTGCCTCTGCGTCATAGTGGGTGCCCAGCCTCACTGTCCCCCCCTTGTGGAGCTTGATGGTGTGCTCACTCTGCAGGAGGTTTGCTCCAGTGCCCCTGAGCCCACTGCTTTTACATCCCCGGAAGGCAGGAGACCGTGGGCAGCGCATGCGACGGCGCTGAGTGTTGGGGCTGTTGTCTGCCGAGCTGCATTCATCAGTGGAGAGAGAACTGTGGCGCGCCAGGGAGCGCTTGGCATGAGACACCTGAAGAAGAAAGAGAGGGGGAGAAAGAGTGAAAAAGACAGAGACAAACAGCTGGTGCACTACACTAAAGGTCTCTTAATTAAACAGGGATGAGGGTATTAAAAATGGTTCCTCACAGACTACCTCAGGAGCCCTCACCTTTGCTTGTGTCTCCTGAGTGATGGATCGTAAAAGGGAGACAGAGCGGGACAGGAGGGGGGAGTTGAACGGGGAGGACTCTGCTGAGGAGCAGGTGTCACTCTCTCCACCACTGAAGTAGCGATATGGGTTGGGGTCAGCAGGGGCCAGTAGCGCCCCCCCTTGGGAGCGTCTCTGTGAGTTCGGGGAGGTGAGTGGGCTGCTGGGGTTGCTGTGGAACAGGCTCTCCTTGCGTCTGGTGTGAGGAGACTCCACCAGTGTGGAAAAGCCATAGGAGGTCTGAGCCTTGGGGACATACGGCAGAGACATTGCAGTCTGAGACTGGGGGTCCGCATTAGTGTTGACGTTAATACTGACTTTGTCCGTAGATCCGGAACCCGGCTCATCTGCACTCTCTATCTGGATGATGTGACGGTTGGCAGACTTCTGGAGATTGCGGGCGTCACCACTTAGACGGGAAAACAGACGAGGACTGCAGGGGTTCTTGCTTCTGCGGGCTCTGGGGCTCTGGCTACAGATGGCATGATCAGAGGAGGAGGGTCTTAGGGTGGAGCCGGGCTGAGTTTCCACGGCAACAGAATCTTCTGGAGGGCAACAAATGAGTTTGGGGGGTATGAAGAAATCAGGGATCTTGTCTGGTGTGAGGACATTGGCGTACACAGAGACAGGAATGGCCTCTACGGTGTGTGTGGTTGGTTGAGATTGTTTCCCACTGCTGTCCACAGATCCACGGAGCTTCTCTATCAGCCACATGCCCACTCAGATGCCTCAGCTAACAGCTCGTCTGTAAACAGAGGGACAGAGAAGGGATACACACATCACATCCAGTTATGACCATCAGCTGAGAACAACACAACACAACACAACACAACACAACATCTGATTATTAGGATTTTCTTTTTAAATTAACTTTAAAAAATGTCTAATAGAACTTTTCCCTATGTGGCAAAACGTCTTCAATTAAAAGAAGTACACAAGTTGGAAAGTAAAAAAGACAGGGAATGTGTTTGTAAATGTATCAGGCACTCATGGTTTGTTCTGATTTCATGAGGACCACAATTTAGATTTAAATCGTTTCTCTTAAACACGTCAAAAAACCAAAAACGACTTACCTCTAGTTTTAAATCAATTATTTCTACGATCTCGCTAAGATTCCATTTACGCATAAAATTCCATTTACGCATGAGGACCAAGACGCGTCCGGAGAAGTTGTTCTACCTCCACACAAACAGACTCACATTTACTACAGCTGCTTAGTAAAAGTACCAACCTGTTGACAGCAGGACTCCGTTTTTCCTCCGACAAATGGATCTCCTCCGTGCGCTTTGTCCACAGCCTCCCGACGCGCGCTTGTGCGTAAAAACGTGCCTTCACTTGATCCTGAGCGCTTGCCAGCAGGGAAAGGCTGCTCGGAGCGACCACTCTCCTCTTTATATGACGGGGGTCTCTGACTTCTGAGCCAATGAGAAGGTTTTGCAATAACATTCCCGTGGTATTTATCGCAAAACTAATCTCTGGAGAGGGTGGAGGTGTGGAGAGTGGTGTCGGTGTACGTGGGGAGGGGGGGTGGTCTAATTTGCAGCCTGTTGCCCCCCCCAACCTCCCCCCCCCCGCCCCACCAACACAGGAGAGTCTCTTAATATATGGGTTTCATATCTCACGCCTCATTGATTTCCAAAGACATGATGTCTGTGATTCCATACAGGGCGTTCACCTGAGAGCTGCCCCCTGGAGGATTGTTGTTGCATAGTTGCAGTGTTGATTGTTCGTCTCTCTCTACAACACACACACACGGGGGCACCTAATTGGACTTCCTGGTGACAAAGTGATGATGATGTGAAATGACTGTTGTGTTGACATTACTGTATTATCAGGTGGAGATGTGTTTTTTTCCATTAAAAATGATCAAATGTAATAAAACCCAATGCACCGTGACATAGAAAACTACATCTGTTGCAATTTGAGCTGCCACAGACTGTGACAAATGAAAGACTCATTTTGCATAATTGTCTTCTATAGGACACAGTTACTGTGCAGCTCCCAAGGAATGGGGGAATGCAGACTGTAATAAGAAGAACGAACGAACGAACAAACAAACAAACAAACAAGCCCAACGCAGGTCTGTTCTGAAGTCCCGGCTCTGCTCAGGCTTGGACCACATCTCAGAATCCCATTGTTTGACCATAAATCTCCCAGTGAACATGCGACTGACTCAGATGTACTGCCAGGATGTACCCCCAGCCCCCCGACTCCTCCATCCACCCTCCCTCACAGATTCTTCAGATCCACACACGCACAAACACAAACTGCCGGTTAAGCTGCCGTCTGTAGCAGTTTTGGACAAAAGCTCTGGAACACTGTCTCCCTGCTGATCAGAAGACAAACATAAAAAAAATAAAATCTAATCAATTTCACATTTTTATGCAGATGACATTTTGCATCTGGTTCAGATCCTGGGACTTGATTTCCAAAAACAGAATCGGACATTCTGAACTGACCAGAGGTGTGAGTGTGGATGGACATGTGATGACCAGGCACACAGGAAACCAACACTGAAAAAGATGAAACGATAGAAGATGTTTACAAACTGAGAAAGTTTAGCCTCCTGTGCTGCAGGGGGCCCTGTAACCACAGTTTGAAATATCCCGCTCTACAAGAGCACTGACACAATAAAAAGAATGTAATTAAATTGACTTTCTTCTTCAAGTGTATGTTCACATGATGTAAAAAAGCCAGACAGGGTAAAGATGACATTTCTGAGCCAAAAGTTAGAATACATTAGAATAGAATAGAATAGAATAGAATTTCCAGTTCAATGTTTGTCCCAACACTTTCCACAACATAAACGCCAACTTTATTTGGGTCTTATTCTGAAAAATGTACCATTATTTTGGAAACCTTTGAGTTACGTTCTTCCCTGAGATAATCTTGAAAGGCAGACTGTATATATACTTGGCAGTTAAATCTTCTAAGACAGATGTTCTAACTGCTATTGCTATGATACGGTGTCAGATTTGAATGATTAAAACCTGCCTCTCGTGCGTCTCCAACAGATGTGACAAGTCTTATCATTTTATTTTCGTCCTCATGAAGAAACTGTTTTGAAATCAGAACAAGAATTCAATCCTGGTAAAAATGAGTCATTGTTGGAGTTGTTTCTCTGTAGATGTTTTTAGGTTCTAATGGAGAGTGTGTTCATAAATACCACATTTATCTTTAAAAAGTTTTTTAATTTGACTTCAGTAACACAGTTGTCTATCTCTTTAACTCTGTCTATTTCCCACTCCTGGATGTGAATATGGGCTCAGTAAGTCAACTCTGCAGTTGAACACACCACTATACACTCCTAGTTGACCATAACAGGTGACTGATGGGAAACGTTATGGTTGGTCCGACTGTTCTCTGAGTCTTTGGTTGTATTTTTTACAATTCCACACTGTGGAGGTTTAACAAGTCAGGTCCATAGATAATAAAGCTGTAATAAAGATTTTTCTTTTTCTAATTTTTGTCCATTTTTCAGACAGCCAAAACTGATACTCCACCCACAGCATCCACAGCCAGGTGGATCTGTGGAGGTGGCTGCACCATGGTATGACTAGCAGTCTCGTAGGAGTCAATCTGGCCAAGGAATGTGAGGCCGTTATGTTGGATCAATGATAAAACCTTTCATGGTATACACACACAAACACACACACATACAAACACACTCACATACTGTAGATGGTCTCATCTCTCAGTGATCAATAGTTACAGGCACAAACATGATATAGAATGACATCGTACGTGCGTAATATCTGTTAAAATGAAGTTGTATCACTGACGTTTTTAAAAGAATTTCTAGTAAAGCTGTACGTACGCCACCATAATGCACTAATATAATAAAAAATAAATATAATAAAAAATATATAATTAATATAACTAATAGGAACAAGTAACACTGTGTACTTTATGTTATATTATATCACTAAGGAACTAGATCAGATTCGATTAAATTAGATTACCTTCAATCTGATTCTATTCAGTTCAATTCAATAGTACAACATACAATAGACTGTACATTGGAAAAGACACAATAAGACAATATATTTAAGGAGGAAAAATACTAGACTTTCTAAAATGCACTCCTTCATATTTGCTCAAGAGAAACAAATTGCAGTGATCTGCATCATCGCTGCATATATTGTTAAATTGTTGCACAGAACCACATAACAGTGGTTATGGCTCTTTTCAATGATATATCCATGCTGTAATGTGAGCTAAAACCTCTGTGTAAAACATGTGCAGAGTAAAGCCGGCGTATTCACCGTATGACCGCGGCTGTACAGGCTGCTGTGTGTATGGACTGGAAGTAAAAGGGAATGCGACTGTGTCAGCTTTAATTGGACCACAGCTGCTCGTCTCCTCTTTATAATGAGGCCTTCCACACTGCTCTGATTCTTTCCTACCATCTCAGCTGTCCCAGATATAGTATTGATAACACAATTTCTCAGTCCAATTAACTCTCAGCTGCAGAAAGTGGTCTGGGCAGTAAATGGTCACACGTGGCGCCGCATGTCACTTCACTTGACCCTCCGCTGATCCAAATGATCACAAATCGCACTAACGCTGAGCAGCTCGGGCAGTTTCTCCTGAACATGTATCATTGTCTGCTGAATGTCCTGGTTTTGGATTCTTTTTGATCTGTGGATTTTCCTGACTCCAGGCTTTGAGTGCCAGTGATTAAGATGTAAGATTATTTTTATCTCAGTTCTATAACCTCGCCCTGGCTTACTCTGCATGTCAACAACTTCTAGATGGACTGCCAGATTTAAAACATGCATATTTTGGCTTCTGCTATAAACAGTGGGAGGAAACTGAGAAGGAGTCGCCAATTTCTAAAAATCTAGCCAATGGAAGGATCATGACCAGCACGAGTGGAGACATTTTTTATTTTTTTTTTATTTTGCTGCTCTCAACCTTTGACTCAACACAGTTTTTTAATTGATATATTAATAAAAAAAGTGTTGGACACGCCATCAAACGTTGTGTTTTAACCTTCACATGCTGTCCATAGTTCAGGCTCTTGGAGTGTATTGGAAGTATGAGTCAGATCTTTATTTTTTTGTCAAAGGGCTTGATAGTGTACAATTTGTACCGGAATTATTTCTGAACACGTCATCATTGACGCCACGTCAGCGGCGGTAATAAAATGCTAAGAAACACAATAGAAGACCCCACTGTGTCGAGTCAAACGGCACTTATTTTCTCTCCTTTTATGGTACATTAGAGTAAATGTTGTCCAGAAATAGGACAGAGGACACAGTGGATTGAAATGTAAAACTCCACCCACACATGCTGCCAGTATCATCACAGAGTATTCACTGTTTGATGTTGTTCTATGGCTTTTATTATGTTGCCTTTACAGGCAGAAATGATCCAACATTACAGGGACAAAAGCAGGAGAAAACCAGAGACCAGGTTCTTACCTACTCAGCCAGTAGTTTTGGCTTAAGTAAACAACCCTTCTTCGCTTCTAGAGTTTGGACTTTGTCAGCACTGTACTCTGGGAGGACAGGGTGTCGCCTTTGAGTAGGTTATGGCTTTTGGATTCTTCACCTAGCACGCCACTACTGTACCAACAGGTCCCCACCAGGACACCTTCACTGTACTGTTTTTGATTGTTGCAAAATAAATCACTGATATCCCTGTTATTGCTGCCGCTCCTGTTTACTGCCATTGGGTCAGGTTTTAAAAGGAGAAACTGAAAATTCAGACTGATTTAAAATCTGAACAGTCACTACATGCATGCTGTGGCCGTGTCAGTTTTAAATGTGGCTCACATAATTGCTAACTTCTTTCTTCAAGGCTCTTTTTGTTTTTCTTTTTTCTTTTGAAAGCAAGCCCACAATTTCAAAATTAACAAGTTAGTAACATGTCAAATCATTTGAGAAATGAGTCAAATTAAATATTTAACCCATTTAAGCACATGGGCAGAATGATGTGTGTTGTACTGTACTGCAACAAAACATGAATTTAAAATACCATCTGAACAACCTGCATGTCTGTGAGGAGGCTTCAACTTCAGGTCAGACACTCAGCTTTCATCAGACCAGGGAGAGTGCCTTTCCATCATTTGGATAGACAGACAGACAGACAGATAGACAGATAGACAGACAGACAGACAGACAGACAGACAGACAGACAGACAGACAGACAGACAGACAGACAGGCAGACAGACAGACAGACAGACAGACAGGCAGACAGACAGACAGACAGACAGACAGGCAGACAGACAGACAGACAGACAGACAGGCAGACAGACAGACAGACAGACAGACAGGCAGACAGACAGACAGACAGACAGACAGGCAGACAGACAGACAGACAGACAGACAGATAGATGTTTCACAGCCCAAAAGTTAAGTTGTAACTTGGCTCAAAGTAATGCAGGGCTGTGAGGATATCACATTAACAGATTGGATAATGGACCTGAGGAGAGTCCGAGGTCTTCAGTGTGAGTCAGGCCTCTGGTTAGTGCTGATAGTTGAGTCACGCTGACACAGGCAGGAACA